CACTATTTTTTTAACTTTTGTAAGATGATAGCTAGTTAACCGGGTCAATATATAGGATAATTTTTACTGTGGGAAAATATCTCATTTCTGAGAAATCTACATTAACCGTTAAAACGTACCTATCTATATAAATCAAAAGATAAATGAGTACTGAACTATGTCTGAAAACTCACGGATCATGTAACGACGTGAATGAAATTTTGTATAAAAACTTCCTTTCACAGTGTACACGAGCACTTAGTAAGGACTTTTAACCATTCAACCCTCTAAGAGGTCGAACTGTGGACAAATTCTATAAAAGCATAATAATTATATATTTTAGAAGATCACATCAATACGTCTCTGTTACAACATTAGGCGCAAACGCAATCGCAGTCACCTGGAGACGCACTATGCGCTCGCGCATCCTAATCGACACTTGATGTTCCTGATGTATGTCCATGACTCACTTTGTAGTTTACTTATATATGTATCTTCGAAAGTCTTAATATGTTTTTAACAATATTTATTGTTATATGTACATTTAAAATCTCTCGGCGATCTATGTTAAAACTCCATCAAAATTCGTTCGGATTGCTCAAAAAGATGTTCATGAAAATACATAGAAAGGCACTATTAAAAATTCATATTGATATGGATTTTGGGTAGTTTTACATCGCAGTCATGCGTTGTACATAAATAATTATTTAATATATTTACAACTTTTACGTATTAACGTTTTTAAGTATTATCTACATATTTTATTGAGCAAAATATACGTCAAGAACTAACTTCGATCGAAAAATATTATTTAGTATGTTCATAGTGCCAACCCGCACTTGGTCAGCATGGTGGACTATGGCCTGATTTCCCTCGTATTGATGGGAGTTCCGTGCCCAGCAGTGGGACGTTAAAAAGGGCTGAATACATAAACGTAATACTATACATGTCATGTATAGTATAGTAATAAGAAATACTAGTGTTCGCCCAATGGTCGAAATTCGATCATAATCATGATTGAAAATTTGAGGCAAACATATATATATATATATGTATATATATATATATATATATATATATATATATATATATATATATATATATATATATATATGAATGAATAGAATTTACCTATCTATATAAAAAAAGATATTTTTTGTTGATAATATTAAAGCTCTTCAATAACTTAACAAAAAAAAGAAAATCGGTTGACAAAATGATGAGAAAAAGGTACTGAATTGTTTTGTCTTTGTCTATTTAGATGTAGATTGTTAGTTTTAGGTAAATATTAAGTACTTTACTGCTTTCATTAGTTCCGAAACTATCCACTAGGAAAATCTAATCATCGGCAAGGGCATGCGAGTATAACTAACTAGCATTGCCCGCGGCTCCGCCCGCGTTCAGATGACCAAAAACTAAATTCTTAGGTGTTACATATTAGTATACTCTTACATTGCAGTTTTTGTATTTTTCCTCAGAAATAAGATATTTTCCCGCGGTAAAAAGTATCCTAGGATCGCGCGCTACATCGCCCGGTTTATATAGCTTGAGCAGGCGGTCGAGCGATGCGGGGCAGAGGGGATGGACTCGCCGTAGGCATCTCAATGCTCGCCAAGCATTAAAAATGTTTCGCTACTAATTACTTCTAACAACGATATCTCAAAAACTATTCATCTGATTGATTTAGTGTAAAGAGCAATTTTAATCTGCATTAAATGACTAAGCTAACTAAAATATTCATTTGGATAAGGATTAATACCGAACTAAAGAAAATAACTTTGAAAATAACGTAATGTTTTTAATTAAAAATGTTAACATAAAAGTGGTTATTGTAAGTCAACCGTAAGAGATAGAGATATGCTATCGCGGACTTTTTTGTAGCATTTTTATAGATTTTGAATTCTCTAGTACATTACTTAACTGTATCTTTGCTAGTTTACGCGGCGTTCGCGTGGAAAGTTCCCATTTGGCGAGATTTTTTGCGACCTCTTCAACATTTGTCGCCGTATTTCAGCTAATTTACATAAAAGCATAATAAATTATATACCTAAACCTTCCTCAAGAATTACTCTTTCTATTGTTGAAAACCGTATAAAAATCCGTTCAGTAGTTTTCGAGTTTATCGCGTACAGACAGACAGGAGGACAGACAGGAGGACAGAAAGACGCGGCCGGGGGACTTATTTTTATAATAAGTATAGATGTTTAGTGAAGGGATAATCTGAGGACATTTTGAGTGTAAATCGTTATTATAATATCCTTAATATATGATTTTCCTTTCATTGCTTTATATTTTGCAAGCGGTTGTTACAAAATATAAATGAACCTATTGCAGCAAAAAATTAGAATATACATATTATAATACGATGCTATCTATACAAGCGTATAATAGCTTCCCGTTATTAGGGGATTCTTTGTGAAAAACGAATATATTAACTGTATCGAATAGTTTATAATATTAATTATTATCAAGCATTTTTTGGATTATAACGTTCTACATAGAACTTTTGATAAACTTAAGTGGCATTGTCTATATCTTCTTATCGTGTTGACTCAAGACCTTGGTTACACCTAATATGGACTATAGACCTCAGTATCTGGTATAAATTTTAACTTGCTAGATCCACCCGCTCCTGAGAAAATCGGTGGTGACACACGGAAAGACAGACGGACAAGAGAGTGATCTTTTAAGGGTTGATTTTTTACCTTCTGAGGTACGGAAACCTAAAAAGATTAGAAACATATTGAAATGTAGAGAAGATAACATCTGCTGGGTCAGCTAGCTTCCTAGCTAGAATTTGTGTATTTATTTGTTTGTCTGATTATTTATTTATTGAATTAAGATTTGACTGATGCTAAGCCTCACAAAACCGACTAGTCTTTTAAATGATTATGCATCTTTTCGGATTTTTTCGCGGATTTATTTGGATTTTTGTTTTTTAAGTTCCAACGTTTCGAATGCTTTACAGCAATCATTGTCATGGGAGAGACTAATTTTTGAGACGTCTCAAAGCTCATTGGCAGCTTAACACTAATATTACTCTTTCTACATCTGCAGGTATTATTTACAAAGCAAATTAGAGATGTCAGATTTAAGAAATTTTAAATTAGTTTCTCCATACCAATGACAAAATATAAACAAAAGAATTAAACGTCGTATCGGAGGTTTCCATTGTTGAATTACAAGAATTGTGAAAACGGCCCACTTATGGAGATGAGTTTATGGTTCAAGCGTTCACATGCCATGTTCTACATGGTACGGTTTCTGGGTCGATTGTTTACCCTTATTTATAAAACAGTAAAGACTATAATCGTTATTATCTTGCTTCTAACATTTCTAAAGTCATGTCAGCTTTCTTTATGATGATAAATTTTAACAATGAACCGATCCAATTTTTTTGTCAAATCTGAAATTATCGCACGGTTTTTTGTTAACGAATGCGTGAAAGTTAAAAATCTTTTTTAATGTCCGCATCTTTAAATTAGCTTTATCTATGATGACATTGGAAAAAACTGAAATAATATACTCTTTATTTACATTATAACTAACTGCAGATCCCGCGGCTATGCCCGCGCTCAATCTATAAAACAAGCTCTGGCTTTATTTATAGGTATAATATTCATACACAAATACTAAAATCGCGATTACAAAATGGGGGGTGGTAGTAGGAGGGTGAGAAATACTTTACGACTTATTCTCATACCTACCAAATATACAAAAAAATCATTAAAATCAATCGAGCCGTTTCGGAGGAGTGCGAGCACAAACCCCGTGATATTTATATATTAGATTATTATTTCATGTTTTGTAGCGTAGAGAGTGTCATCTCACTTGCTTTCAGTATTCGATAGAAACAACGCGCTGTCTTAGCTAATACCTACAATATTCCTAACTCTTAGAGGCTGTCAAAGAACGTAGCATTTATTCCTTTACTTAAACTTTGTTTCTAACGTCCCAACATCTCACTTTTGTCTTCCAAAACTTAGACCTTGTATATTTTATTAAACTTACAAATTTCTATTGTAAGCCTCTACATTATTTAGCGTATTTATTAATATAATTTTGATATATAATATAAATAAATATTCTAAGATTATTTTAATTTATAGTGTAGTTTATATGGCCTAGGTACCTACATATCTGCAAAATACGTATTACACATATGTACATACCTACACCTGCATCTACACTATAGCAAGAAATAGCAATAACAAGTCTTATTTATTTAACAGTAATCAATAGCCTTTACAAAAAAAAATCTTTTCTTTTATTTCTTACGAATCCAATGACGCACGGACATTTGTTTGCACTTACCTATATACAAATATGCGGTGTTTGTTTTGTCTGAATTTGATTTACACAGCTTGTAGAAAGTCTATCATTATAATATAATAAGAGAAAAAAATATATTTTTTTTATATTTTCATGCATATTGTTATATTAGTTAAAATATTTAATACCTACTATTTCTTATAAATTTTCATTACTTTTCTCTATGACCTACATACATGCTGGTTTGGTAGATTTAAAAGTAACTTATAAAAAGTCATTTTTTGAGATCTTTATCAATATTATTGATGCAAAATATTTTTTGTTTTTTTTTTGTTGTTTATATCCTACTTTTTCAGCAACAAAAGAGCACCGGATTGATGTAAAAAAATGATTTTTTATGGATCGCAAACGGAAAAAAAATGTAGACTTTTCTGGCACATAACAGTTTATTGTGGAATAGTCTATTTGAATCAAGTATATTTTGACTTTTTATTTAATAATTGAACAATAATAATTTATTGAACAACAAAAACACATAAACAGTAAACAATATTACATACAAAAACAAACATACATATATTATTATACAGAAAAATCTTAGTTTTTTTTGCTCAGTTTAACTTAGCCTCTGTTGCTGTACTAGGAGACCTGTATGTAAAAAAGTGTCTTGAATATTTAAAAAATATGCAGAATTCTTAGTCACAGACGATGTTCATAAGATAAAATAAAAATACTATTTGTTTCACCAGGAATTGGAGCAAGAGAAGCACCTTCTCCGACGACGACTGGACACAGAGCAGGGCGAGTATGAGGCGAGGTTGTTGGAACTGCAGAATGATATCAAGGAGCTGACTGCGAAAATTGGCTCCAAAGATACTTCAGTAAAACAGGTTAGTACTGCTAGTGTTAGAAGAAGTATTTTCATTATTATTAAGTACTAGCGATTCAACCTCGTTTCGCTCGGGTTCGTCCCTAGTTACGTATTAACGTTTAGTAGGTATAGATTTCTCACAGGTTAGATATTTTCTCGCAGTAAAAAGTATTCTATATGTTGACCCGGGTAACCGGCTATCATCATACCAAATTTCATCAAAATCTGTTCAGTGGTTTTCTCGTGATGCGTCCCCAGAAAGCTAGATTTAATTTACGCCAAACGTTTTCTTATAGACTACATATTTTTAAGCAGTCATAATGACGTTCATAATTCTTTAAACCTTGGTATAAAAAGGAAAACAATAAAAATGTTACTGTAAATTTAAATATGTATATTGTACACAATTATATGGGCAGGCCCATGAGGTTAATTGGGCAATATTAAAATATTTTAATTACCTACATTGAACTCTTATTTAACGTAATATGCCACTTGTAAATTAATTATAGCTTACATACGTAATTATTTCAAAAATTTATAAATATCTATAAATATGAGGTAGGAAGTTTTAAATAAAACTATCTTTTCGGATTATTTCGCGGTTTTATTTTGATTTTTGGTTCCCGACGTTTCGAATGCTTTACAGCATCCATGGTCACGGGAGAAGTATTATGAGTGAGAAGTATTATAAGCAAGTATTATGAGGTAGGAAGGTTGATTTTTATACCTATAAGCACTTGCGACTGACCTACCGATTTAACGTTTAGTACTCGTATAATATGTAGATTTTTCAGAGATGAGATATTTTCCCGCTGTAAAAGGTATCCTATAGGTATGTTGACCCGGATAACCAGCTATACCAAATTTCATCTAAATCCCTCCAGTGGTATTTCCGTGATACGGACAGCAGACAGGCAGACAAAAATTCTAAAAATTATAGATTCGGCCTCTATGTCGATAATAATGATTATTTCAATAAGTTTTTCCAAAAAATATTTAACGTACAGATTCGGCAAAAATTAATAATATAATATTGTATTTGAAGAGAAGATGGTTATTCCCGTGTTTTATTTGAGAGCCTAACAGTGAGTGGTGAATAATAAGACAAATAAAATAACCAACGACATAAAGATAGAAACACGTGTTTACGTTTTTATAGCTGTGTTTATAGTACCTAATGTAATCTTTACATATAATAAAATTCTAAGTAAGTCGAATCTTGAACATTGAACATTTTTTGGAAAATCTTATTTAAATAGATATTATTATCGATACAGAGGCCGAATCTATTGTTTTTAGAATTTATGTCTGTCTGCCTGTTACCGCATCACAGAAAAACTACTGGAGGGATTTTGATGAAATTTGGCATGGTCATAGCTGGTTATCCGGGTCAACATATAGGATACTTTTTACCGTGGGAAAATATCTTATTTCTGAGAAAAAATACAAAAACTATATAGAATAAAACCACGTTGATACTATATATATTTTAGCAAGGTAACTTTCTACATAAGGCAAAAACTATTAAAAATAGCTTATCTTGAAAAAAAAATAACAAGAGCGCTATTGTATTTGGTTTTTGGTCATCACAACGCGGGCATAGCCGCGGGCAATGCTAGTGAATTATAAAAACAAAATAAATTAAGAACATCAGGGTGATGATGAGGATCGTTTTTGACGATTGTCACGTAGATTTTTGACTTAATAATTAAAAAATAAAAATATCGCCTGTGAATTAGAATTGCAACTTAGTTAACTAACTGAAAAAAAATTATGCTAGCTTTATTAAAAATTCTAAATAGGCGTATAAAATCGTTTAAAAAGTTCTAAACATTATAGAACTTTATTACAATGTAAAAAATTATATGTAAAAGAAGGTCTTCAGCATCTTATCACAAAAACTGTTCGAACCACTGGAATGACGAACCTATTAATCGATAGCGGTCGTAACGCCGTCTGTTTATCAACTCTTAATGGGAATAATGACTAACTCTGGCATTTCGAGCTATTTTTAGATGATGATATCAAAAATCTAGACTTTAAAGTACCTAATTAACAAGTGTGTATATACAAGAATACTTACATCTAATCCACCTTCCATACAAATATTATAAATGTGAAAGTGTGTTTGTTTGTCCTTCTTTCACGTCGAAACAGAGAAATGGATTAGCGTGATTTTTTGTGTGCATATAGTTGGAGGGAAAGTGACATAGGCTACTTTTTACCGCGGGAGATTATCTCATTCCCACGGGAAAACACGTTATAATACAACTCAATACAACCCAAAACAATATTTATGGTCAGAATTACTTGAAACTTGGTATTGATGCTCTAAAATATAATTAAATAAATACTTAGCATTTTTCGAAATTCATCATTCTAAAGTAGGAGATGAATGTTTGTATGAAACCTATCTTTTCAAAAAATTTTTTGTAGTTTTAGCGCTAGCGAAGCCACGGGTTTTGCTTGTATACTTATAAATTGTACCACTGCAACTTTCCATGGTCAACCCACAGTGGGTTTGTCTAACTTCGTCGATGATCACATGTTCGATTTTGCAAAGGGCATATTTGTTTGGAACTTCCATATTAAAATCAATTAAAAAGTAAATCAATTCAAAAGGTATAAAATATTAAGTAGAAACCAAATAAGAGCGGTAGGTACTACACGACCTTACCGTATTGTTGGGTGAAACATTTGACATTTTAACATTGGCCAGTGCCGAACTAAGTCAAGGATACGTATTGTCAACGATGTAAAGCGATTTTAATATTGCATTAACTAGTGCGCTCAAGTGCACTGGATTTAAACGATGTTATTTAAGAGCTAAGACCACCCTGGCAATAACGTTATATAATAAATTCAGTAATCTGTGCTCCACTGGCACGTTTTCAAACCATTCACATAAAAAAATTGAATAATGAATTCATATTCATAAACTAAAAAAGAATGCCTTCGACAATTGTTATTGTATAAGACTCGTCAAACGAATTGACCCAACTTGAAGGCTTTACCAAGGACATTTGAAAAATTCCATCATCCACTTTCTCTCTCATCATCAGATCAGCTCGATTGAATTTAACTATTTAATTGTCATTCAGATTACACATACAAAGGTTCGACATTCAGAAGTCGATTTAAAGTAAATTTAAAGTTTAAAGGATCTTTTTATAATAAAAAAAAAACAAAGTATGACCTAGTATATGTGTATTTAAATAAAATAGTCGTGCCATCTTTCACAACATCAAACAAAATTTAACATATGAAAAAGGAGAATTAAAAAAAAATATTCAAAAAGAAAAAAAGTAACATTTGGAAACACCAAACAAATATTTTGATAATTGAATACAATATTATGTTTTTCTATAGATTTTTTTTTAAATAAAGCAAAACATGTGTTTATAACTTTATATGAAGCCCATAAACCAATAACATTTATAATCCTATAGAATACTCACGTGTATCAACACTTCCCTCTCACCTTCCAGTCGCACTCGAATTTTGAAACCCTACTAGAACTAAATACGGTATAGTTTTCGTCGCTTAATCCTCTTTCCTTTAAGTCGGATTTACACTAATCTCTTTATACACTTCACATTTTAGGCAAATTTTGTTTTGTTATTTTAACTAAAACGATATGTTAAAAATTACTACATGGTTTAACTATACATGTAACTAGCGACTCACTCTCGCTAAAACCGTACATTTTTCCGGGATAAAAAGTAACCTTATGTGCTATTCCAGACTATAATCTATCTGTGCACAAAATTTCATCCAGATCCGTTCAGCCGTTCACGCCAGTAAGAGAGTAACAAACATCCATCCATCCTCAAAAACTTTTACCTTTATAATATTAGTAGAATGATATCTTAATTTAGTGTCACCTTACTCGATTTCTAAGATATTGTTCCTTTGCAATAGATCAAAATTTACCTGCTCTATATAAAATTTTACTAATACTACTTTAAATCCTGGATGTTGGTAGTACAGATCAGCAATTTTTTAACTTTAGAGCCTACTTAGCTGAGGTCATTTTTATCCCTATAAGTTGGAACCCATGGAACAGTTAATTTAAAAAAAATAATTAAGAAAATATAGCTAGAGCTTAAGCTCACTTAAGTGAGTGTTCACTTAAGTGAAATCAAGCATTGCTAGTTCACTTCTAGAATAGAGTTCGTTTATAAATATATTTGTAAACACTTTGCTACTAATTTTGTCTTTTTATTTGTTTTTACCAAACCATTGCATTTACAAAAGCAAAATTGATTGAAACTGAAAGTTAAGTCATTTCATTCATGTCATGTCAGTCATATTTAATTTATTAAATTTAAATTAAACTAGGGTTTAAAATACTCTAAAGTATTTATAATAATTATACTAATCATCACACGATATTTGGGGTCATGTGAATTATTGTTTGAAACTTGAAACCGGCTTTGTATCATTAAAGTAATTACAAGACAATTATTCTAATAACAGCCAATTATAACCTTGTTGATTAACAAAACGTCTACAAACGAATTGTTCTATGATAGACGAGCGATGTGCGATAAATATAATAGATATATAGAAGCGATATGTTATTAATACATATTTGATCTTATTATATACTAACTAGCATTGCCCGCGGCTCCGCCGGCGTTCAGATGACCAAAAACCAAATTCTTAGGTTTTACATATTAGTTTAATCTTACATTGCAGTTTTTGTATTTTTTCTCAGAAATTAGACGTTTTCCCGCTGTAAAAATTATTCTATACGTTGACCCGGATAACCAGCTATCACCATACTAAATTTCATCAAAATCCCTCCAGTGGTTTCTCCGTGATGCGGTAACAGACAGACAGACAAGATTTTTAAAAACTATAGATTCGGCCTCTGTATAAAATAATGTCTATTCTAATAAGATTTTCCAAAAAATATTCATTGTACAGATTCGGCTTAGTTAGAATTTTATTATATGTAGCTATAGATAGAATAAATGTATCTTATTCCATAATATAATACATATTTAATAG